TGGTTCATTTTTCTTTGTTTTCGAGACGGGAGGAATTTGCTCTTCATGTGCGAGAAAGTCCACAGAAGTGCCGTTGGCCGGCTGGGGATCGATAGTATAGTACCGATCGGAAACAAGCTAGTTTTTCATTTCAAACTTTGAATGAAACTGTTTTAATTTGTTGTTAAAATCTTTCCAGTCTCCAGACGTTACATTCAGATGATATTCAACTTTTTTTTTTACTTTTTCGCAACTTCACAAACTAAGTTGCAATGGTCACCCTAGCTGTGGAATCATAACCCTATGTTGCCGACCGCATTATTTACGTGACTGACTCTGGCCAGCCCATAGGGCTATGGGGCCTTGTGCGACTGAATACCGGTTAAAATCCACATGCCAAATTTGGTCGTCGTGAAAATCACATTTTAAGACCTTCGAAAGTACTCACTATGTTTATTTACTTCCAAACAATGACCAGAACCTATTTGCGCTGTGAAATGATGACGGTGGTCATAAAAAATTGACTTTATTTACCGTATACCGAGTCGCAGAAAAAATAACAAGACGAAAGACGCCATTTTGTATTCCAGAGTTTATAACAAATTACGCGAGACCTATAATTTTGTACCACGTGACCGAAATCAGTAGATAAAATGTGTTTATGCAACTAGTTTCTATTATTAAACAAAAATCATACAATTATAAATACTGTATGTGATTGCACATGACCGCCAAACGAGATTACATTTATTCTGCGCTAGGGAGTGTGGGATGTCAATGGCTGCAGTTTTCTCGTAATTTGCTTGGTTTCCGCGGTAATTGTTTGAAAATATCACAAATTATTGCTTATTTATAAACACAAATTGCAAACAAAAGTTTGTATGTTATTCATCCAGCGATCAATTCAGAATAAAGGTACGTCACACCATCGTAATCGAAAGCAAAAGCGATTTAATTTATGTTTGCCAGATTTCTGTTTTTAAACTGTGATAGATCCCGTAGCTCTATGTTCGACGTAAAACAACAAAATTAAAAAAAGACGTTCAAATGAAATTGTTAGGGCGAAATTCGATTGTAGGTCGCACCAAAGAGCTACGGAACCGAAGCTATGGTCACCCTGTCTATTAGCCCTAAAGATTGCGTACTCGGTAATCTGAACGTAACATATGGCCACTTTCCTGTTAGCGATTCGCAAGTAGCTATTGTCTTTTTGCCGAGACTGTCTGATGGAAATGTTGGTGGTCGTTATACAAAAGTTAAAGTGTGAATAGGTCTACAATAGGGTGGTCGCTGGTCGCGTTGGACAGGTGGTCGCTATATCCAGTGTCTTTAACGTGTAAACTGCGAAGGGACTGTACTAAGGTGGTCGCTATGAGCAGGTGGCCGCTCTGCACAGGTGGTCCTTAACACAGGTTTGACTGTATAAGGTAATATTTTAGCCAGCGAGTAGTTCTTTAATTCATCTATTTTACCAGCAGTGACACATTTTCGCAACAATTTTTCATACCTTTACCCAGATATTTGTCGTTTTTGATTTTGGGGTGATTGAAATGATTTTGTTTACATGTTTGTTGACGTTGTGGTTGCCCGAATTTAAAGTCGAAGTGAAGTCATACAATGAGGTATCGCTTTGAATGACGGTAAATTTTCCGATTTTAATGAATATTTTGACGGTATTGTAATCTGTCTGACTTCCTCGGCTTGGGTGTGAACGGTTTGTTTACCCGCACCGCGGTTCGAGACAAAAGAACGCTAGTCGTTTCCAGACGGGGGATAAAGGGACAGTGATTTAACATTCAACACATCAAAAATTAGCGAAAATAAACTTCATACAAAACACCCAAAAAGCCTTTTCAGCGAAAACCAATTCCAGCTAAATTAAAGTATTTTACAGTATTTACACCTAGAAAGACTACCTAGGAGGCTATTACAGTAGTGAGTCAGCCTACAACTGTTGCATACAAGTTTATCCAAAGTTAGGTGTGGAATCATAGCCCTATGTTGCCGACCATATTATTTATGTGACTGATTCTGGCCGGCCCATAGGGCTATGGGCCTTGTGCGACTGAATACAGGTTAAAATCCACATGCCAAATTTGGTCGTCCCGAAAATCACATTTTAAGACCTTCGAAAGTACTCACTACATGTATGTTTATTTACTTCCAAACAATGACCAGAACCTATTTGCGCTGTGAAATGATGACTGTGGTCATAAAAAATTGACTTTATTTACCGTACACCGAGTCGCAGAAAAATAACAAGACGAAAGACGCCATTTTGTATTCCAGAGTTTATAGCAAATTACGCGAGACCTATAATTGTGTACCACGTGACCAAAATCAGTAGATAAATTGCGTTTATGCAAATAGTTTCTATTATTAAACAAAAATTATACAATTATAAATTTAATTTACGTATGCCAGATTTCTGTTTTTAAACGGTGATAGATCCCATAGCTCTATGTTCGACGTACAACAACAAAATTAAAAAGAAGACGTCCAAATGAAATTGTTAGGGCGAAATTCGATTGCAGGTCGCACCAAAGAGCTACGGAGCCGCAGCTAATCCAAAGTGTGATAGCAGCTGGGGATAGTATGTTGCCGTAATAAGATAAAAATAACCATTATTTCCAATTGCTAAGTTTTATTTCATTAAAAACAGTACAATTCACAAGTATCCTGACAGTTTTTGCAGAACTCAGTATCGAAAGAGCAGAAAAGCAAGAGAAATATAGTTTGTGTGACCTTAGCTCCATGCTGTGACCCAGGTCATGGCCCAATCAGCTGACTTCCAGCCACTCACTAGTTTTCTGTTGCTTCATATTAGGTTGAGGGAGAGTGCCATGTATAAGTGTCCCCCCCCCCGATGGAACCTCCTTTCTTACACATACAGTTCTTAAAGTGCCTGTGCAAGGCCCACCCTCACGTTTCCCATTTTAGATCTGTGTCCCACTGAAAAAAGGTAGTTATTGATTTTTTGCCGAAAATGATTACTCGTATCCAAGCAAATTTAGGATATTTCTCGTGTTGTAGCCACGCCCACCTATCGTGAAACGGTCTACTGTTTCCGGATTTCCGACCCTCGCCGAAAGTGCGCCACCAAATGACAAAATGTGAGAGGAAGTCATCCCCCTGAGCCGTAATAACATTGGTCGTTCAGTATATTTTTAAACGATATACATTTTTCGGTCGGCGTTCTTTCTTTTCTTTTTCTATTTAATTTTTTTTTGAGAGAGTTTTTAGATGTTGTGTTGTGGGCAGTTGCAGTGAAACATATAGCCATAGTGTATGTATTCACACGTTTCTAATCGATCCGAAGGTGCGACATCACTTAACCTTAGATTCATTCAACTGTCCTCGTCCATAAAAAAACGACTAGGTTTAAAGAGAAACGCCGACAACGTGAACCTGGCGCAACACTTTTGAAAGAAATAGACTCCGGACCAGCCCATGATCACCGAGGCGGATTTCTGAAGAGAGAGAGACGTCCGGCAAGTGTTTCAAATCAGTTGAATTTTTTTGTGACCCTGATTATCGTTTTATAGAGACCATTTAGTCCATGTTAAGTAAAAGGTAGCAATAATTTTGACAGTGACACGAAAACGAAGCGTCGGACAAACAGAAAATTACACAGCCCTTACACACTGCTAACTGTTTTCATTTTCGAAGGCTAAAAGTTTCTGAATTATTTGGTGATTGGTGTTGAATGTCACACCTCTGTTCTTTTTTACCTCCATGCTTGCAGCTTGATCTGCGTAATAATTTATGAAATAAGAATCCGGGCTTGGTCAATGTGTTTCCACCAAAAAAAGTTTTAATACGATGTTATAATTATGACAATCACGCCATGGATCAAGCTAACTCGAATACACTCTGAACTTATCTGTATGTGTGTCGATCTCGATTATTTTTGTTATCCAATTAAACGCCGCTTTTAACGCACTTGCCCTCGCTGTGACCCG